TGAACTCGCAGAGATCTACCTGCCTTTGCCTCCCAAGTGCTGGGATCAGAGATGTGGGCCACCATGTCCAGTTTTGAGATAGGGTTTTGTATGTAGCTTCAGTTGACCTTGAGCTTTTCATCCTCCTGCCTTGCCTACTAGTTGCTGGAGTTACAGGTGTGTACCACCAGCCTTGGCTTGTTTTATGTTTTTTCATTTTAACATAATTTGTGTGTGGTGGAAGAATGGGGTACTCACATGCCACACTGTATGTGTGAAGATCAGAGGACAACTTGTGGAGTTGATTCTCTCCTACCATGTGGGTTCCAGGGATCAGACTCAAATTGGTAGGCCTGGTGGCAAGTGACTCTACCTTACCCTTTGAGCCATCTTGCCAGTCCCTACTTCACTTTTTATTAAATCTGAGGTAGTGGGTTGATGTTGAACCAAAGGTTGAGGGAGGCACGGTCACATGGCTGTGAAAACTACACATATTTAGAAACCATGAAAAGACTGGAGTTTTACTTTATTTTTGTGTTTCCTTAATTTTTTGTGGGGGGAGCAGAAGACAGGGTCTTCCTGTAGCCACAGCTGGCCAGGAAGTCACTAGACCAGGCTGGCCTCAGTTTCACAGAGATCTTCCTGCCTCTTGTCTTTTGAGTACTGGGATTAAAGGTGTGTGCCACCATACCTGGCTTTTCTTTACTTTTAAAAATCTTTATTGTGCCAGATGTTGTGGTGCATGCCGTTAGTCCCAGTATTTGGGAGGCAGAGGTAGCCAGCCAGGGCTGCAGGGAGACCATGTCTCAAAATGACAAAAACAAAAAAGCTTTATTGTGTATATGCGTGTAGGCAGATGCGTTCCATGGTACGTATATGGAAGTCAGAGGACAACTTGACAAAAAATTTGTTTTCTCATTCCACCTGGTAGGTTCCAGGAATCAAACTCAAGTTGTCAGGTTTGACAACAGACTCCTTTACCTGTGGAACCATCTTGCTTTTGAATTGTATATGACATAAAAATATGAGGGTACAAAGCTCATGATGAAATGCATAATACCCCAGCTGTGTAGGATAGATAGGGTATTCCTGAGGCTACTTGCCCTCTCCTCACCCTCTGTGGCTCTGGTTTCTTGCCTGGCTGGCTTGTGTATGTCCTGGAAATGGATTGTTGACTTTCTGTTGAGGGGTGCTCTCAGTCACAGGGGTTGGGAGGCTGTGTGCTGTCTATGGTAGGCAGAGTTGGTATGGATGAATTTCAGGAGTGAGTGGTCCTAGGAGAAAGGAGTTGTCTTCCAAGGAACTTCCTCTCTGCATCGCTGCACTGACTTTTTCCTTGTATTTCTTGGGCTTCTCAGAGGGGTTTGGTTATCTACCATTAGTAGGCTCAGGGGACCAAACTGAACACCCTACTGCCTGTTCCCAGAGAGGCTAGCCTGGGTCAAGGAGCTGCATTAAAAGTCAGCTGCTGGAGCCTCATGGGGCAGAGTAGACCTTCCTTCTTTCCTTGACTGTGGGTGGGCTGGCTGCTCCTTTTGGGAGCTACCTGGATGAGGGAGCTATCCAAAAGAGCCTAGTTTTTGCCAAGCCATAGCTTTGCCACTCTCTGCAAACCAGAAGGCTAGCTCCTGAGGAGTTAAGTGGGTCAGTGCCCTCCATCTGCCAGACCCAGCCTGGGATCACCAGACCACAGTGGGGCTTGCAGAGGGTAGAAAGCTGGGATCCTATTAAGCAGAACACCTCAGTACATGGGGTGGGGCAGCCTCCTACGTGCCTAGATGCTCGTGCGGCTGCCCAGGACACAGTAACCCCAGCTTGCTCAGGCCTGTCCCCAAGGGTGCTGACTGTGTTCTCCCTCTTTAAAAGTTTCATTTTGTCCTTGTGCCTCCAAGTACCAGAGAAGGAAGCCTAGTAGAGGGGTAATGTCTCCTGCCAGGCCTTGTTTTCCCCTCTGCCAGCCATGACTAGCCCATTGGTCACTCTCTAGCAACTTCCTCCCTCCTGGTGGGTTGAGGGATGGGACCTGACTGGCAGGATGACAATGTTGGGAGCACACAGTGCAGCCTGCTTGCCACCCCAACTGGGAAGTGGTGATGGGAAAACCTGCTTCTGAGAAGTGCTACTGTCTGTTCAAACTCCCCAGTTGGGTGTGCTAGGAAGGCAGCCTTGGCCTTTTGAGATTTCTAAGGTCTGGCTGGGGTCCCTAGAGCTTGTGGAAACCAATTGAGTAGAGCAGAGCCTGGAGAGGTGACCCTGATGCCCATCTGGTTCTGAGTGGGCTCATGGTGTGGTATTACAGGGCATCTGTGGCCCCTGAGGCTGTGCTCTGGCCTGTTTGCTGCCTTTCAGAGAGCCACTTCCCAAAGGAGGGTGGCATGTGGGGGACACTTGGGGACAGGATTGGGTAGGCTGCTTCTGGAAGAGCTCCCACTGGCCTTGCTTACTTCGTGGTTTGTTTGGCCCCCAGCTCCTCATTTCCTCCAGGCTAGAGGCAGCGTGGTGGTAAACAGTACAGTCTCAGGTGGCATCTGACTGGCTGTTGGCATAGGTAGGGAGATGGAAGAGGCCATGTAAGCCATTCTGCCTGGGTGGGCCCTGCCACTCCACAAACTAGACATGTCTCCTGGTTTCTTGGGTCTCCACTTGCTCATTTGTGAAACAGGTTGGAGAGCTCAAGAATGCAGCTCAAGAGTGCAGAAGCAGGAGAAAGTATGAAGAACAGGCCTGAGAGGGCCTGCTAAGGGCCTGGTAGGAGATCTGTCTGTCTCACTCTCTCTCCACAGAAGTTTCTTAGGGCAGTAGAAGGCCAGTGTGGGGCTCCAAGCATGATGTTATGAGTTGAGGTGGACCTATACCATCCTGTAGCCTTTCTGGGAAAAGCTGAGAAAAGCCTAGGCCAGGGACAGCATGTGTGTGGATGCTAAAGTCCATATCACTAAAGCCCTTGGCTTAATGGCAGCTCTCCTTCTAGAGAGGCAGTAGACTCAGATAGGCTTAGGGGTACTGGCAGCTCCCAGTAGCCCTTGGGATAGCAGCTCTGAGGAAGGTGTCCCATCTCTGCCTGTCTTCTTACGGCTGTCTCTGTCCTTGTCACTGTCTCTGCTTCTTGTGGCTACTCTGGGACAAGTTATGTCTCAGGGAGCAATGCTAATGATGAGGACAGGCCTGGGTCCCTACTTACCACCCTCTGGCTGTGTATGTCCCAGAGCAAATGGTCCAGCCTCCCTTGCTTGGGCTGCTGCCGGGACATGCCCTCTTGAGGCAGCAAGGAACAGGGTTTGTGTTGCAGTGTCTTAAGCTATTTCTGGATCCTTATCTCTGTCACCTACTGCCTCTCCCTGGGCTCTCAATTATAGTCAGATTGACCTCCCATCCCCTTCCTCCTACCCCTGTGCTTCTGTCTTGAACCCTCAGCCTCTTACCTAGTCTCTGTTCCTCTGAGCCTTTCCTTTATGACTCAGTATACATAGAATGTCACCCACCCCAGAATATCTTCCCCTGCAGCTGAACTTGAAGGCAGAGGTCAGAGGCCAGGCCAAGCCAAGGCTCCTTGGCTTCTTACCTAGGACAGGGCAGGCTAGTTCAGGCAGGGTCTTGGGGTCTGGGATGTACAGGCCTTGGTGAGGCAGGTTGTGCTTGCCCCTGCGGATAGCACACTGAAGTAGAATGGCCTCGCTGTCCGTTTCAGCTCTTCAGCTCCTCTGGTGTAGCTCTGGGGACATGCAGATAGGGGTGTCTCCCATTTACACCCCAGATACTCCAGATGATGTCTTTCTCACTTGGGGTGTTTACATGCAGACTAATGTGAGAGGCTGAGCAGGGCCAGGGGTCCTTGGTATTCGAGGATATGCTTAGGACTTGGAGCCAACTCTGCAGCAGGTAGCCACTGGCTGTTGAGGGGGGTGTCTGGAGCTGAGCATGTCTGCCCCCTATCAGGACTACACAGGCTCTGAGAAGTGTTCTTCTTACAGCCCCTTCTTGGTATCAGGCCTTCTTGCTGTAAGAGAGCTTTGGGATACCTCTCTATTTCTCCATCTGCAGCTGAGCTGCTGGGTCAAGGAATGGATTCTCCAACTACTGTGGGAACAAGGTGGATGCCTTTGCGTCCTGCTGTAGGCTGCAGGAGGGGTGGGCCTTTTTCTTGTGGCTCCCAAGGCCTGTTCCACCTAGCTTCCAACTTCCTCACAGGGACCATGCTATCCACAGACAAAATTGCAGACTATTTAGACCCAGCCTGACTGGTTTGACACCATGGGTCAGGTTCCTTGTTAATGAAACAGATGAGGTGACTGTCCTGTGACTGTTAGGAGTGTTATTGTCAGTTCAGGGCCTGGTACTATCAGATGGATGGTTTTGTCTGCTCATATCAGGCTGATGTCTTTGGACACTTTCTCAGAGAAGGGACAATACCAAGTGCTCGGGCTAGAGTCTATCTGAGCTGAGGGTTGGTTGTGAAGGTTGGAAACCAGGATCCTTTTGGCTGAGAGAGTCAGCCATAGCGGCCAGAGCCCCATTAGTTGGAGTTAGGATAGCTGGAGACCTCCTGTCTGGTGACTCAGTATGGTAGCAGCAATCCATAATTGTTGGCATTGTGGATTCCAGAGCTGGAAGCTAAACAGTTCTGAGCCTGAGGGTCAAGGCCAGCAGCTCCCTTTGGACAGAAGTCACCATTCATAGGCAGTGGGCCATATCCATGCTAAATTTCCCCTTCTTTGAACCTTATGGATATCCTCAGATCTGGAGTCCAAGCCACTTAGGTCCACATCTAGTATGGCCATGAAACGACCAGTACCCACCCACCCTGCTGAGTCCATTTGCCACTGGTGGGCTGTCTTCCAAGCTGAGTCCTAGCTACAAGGTGCATCTATGCCTGGCCATGCCTGCTCTACCTAAAGCCCTGTAGGTAGATGGCATATTGAAGGCATCTATGATCCTAAGTACCCCAGGCTTCTGAAAGCAAAGTCCAGTGGGGGAACATGTGGAGCATGCTCCTATCTCAAATGGCCTGTTCTGTCTTGCAGGAGATGGCCAATTCTGTCTACCTGGTCATGGAGGTGAGTGTCTATGGGGCCTGGACAAGCTTGTAAGCCAGCTCCTTGTTACTGGGACTAGGGCAAGCACAGGGTCCAGAGGGAGGGGCATAGAGGTTGGGAAGGGTGGTACAAGTACAAGCACGCACTGTTGGCATTCCTAGCTGGGATTTTGGGGCCACTTGTACAGGAAGGGTCCAAAGAACAGACAAGGGTTTTGGAGAATTCAGGCAGGGCTGGAGGGTTCTTGCTTATGCTCTGAGGTTGTGTCCCTCATCTTTTGCAGTACTGTAATGGTGGAGACCTGGCTGATTACCTACACAGTGAGTAGAAACACCCCAGCTGGGCACTGCTGCTAGCCTAGGAAGCAGCCAGCTTGAGCTGTTCCCTGCTTGGTTGTGGCATTGATTCTTCTCGTCCCTTAGATCCCTTAGACCCCAGCCATTTCAGGTCCTTAGGATGCTGTCTATCCTCAGCTGTTTGTAGCATGTCTCCCACATACCAGGATTGGGGGTGGCTGGAGCAGAATAGCAATTCTGGTGGTGGGGAAGGCAGGGATGAGTGGGACATGAAAGCCAGTTGGGTGGGTTAGGATAAGTGCTGGCGGGTTTGGGACACAGACAGGGCTTACAGTTCTCATGGTAGGGCAGGAAAGGCAGCTTTGAATATAAATGGAGTTAAGCCAAGAAGCCCCTATGGGAGTGTCATGTGGGTATAGGCTAGGAGAGGTGAGCCCAGCAGAGAAGGGAGACTGAGAGCAGCAGGAGGGCCCAGGAAAACAAAGTGGGTGGGATATGGTGAACAGGGTGAGTGGGAAATCAACACAGCCCTTCTAGGAAGTGCCCCAAAGGTCTAGGGGTTTGGTGGCAAGTGGAAGTAACTCAGGGATCCTGGAATGATACAAAGGCCATCCATGTCTGTCCATCTCAGTTGCTACACAGAATGCTTCGCCTCAATAGGCACAGCAGCAGGAATTGATGGCTCATAGCATCCCCTCAGGGATGATCCTTTAGACTCAGCCTTCTTGTAAGGAGGGACACCACAGGGACCTGAGCACCTCTTGGAGCCTTTTCTCCTGAGGATTCCCCAGAGGGCCTTGGGCATTTGGACTGCCCTGAGAGCTATCTTTTGCTCTTGAGGCTCCTCCCTCTGTTAGGGGTAGCTGGACACCTCCCAGGACAGGAATACCCTTGCATGTGGCTGTGCCATCAGAGAAGACCCTAGATCTAGGAAGGCCCTATGCAGTCTTCTGGGATGGGTCAGCTGTGGAATGGGGGTGGAGCTGCTGGCTGGCCCTGGATGCAGTGGCCTGTCAGCTTACCACATGCTCAAGTTCACGTGGCTGAGCTGTGCTGTGCTTTGCCTGTTCAGTATTTACTTTTCTCCCTTGGGGTGACCACTGTCTCCTGCACCCATGACCTTCAGTGATTGGGCAGTTCTTGGTTGGTTTCCAGGTTCCACAAGTGTTAGATTGGCCCTAGGCCTGTCTCAAGTGCCACCTGCCTGTGTGAGAGGGGAGAGTAGAAGACTGGTACAGGTCTGGTCCACTATGTTGAATGTCTTGGAGTACTCATAGCCTCCCATACATGTATGGCTCTGAGCACTGATGTGGGCATCCTTGACTGCCTACTTGTGAACTGGGCTAGGGTGAGCTGGCATCCTAACAAAGGGACTTGGGTGGCCCAGACTAGATTTCAATCTGAGGTGAAGTTTTGGTCTTTGTTAGGGTATGTGCTGGTTGTGTGTGTGAGAGTATGTCTCTAGGGTATGTATGTTTAGGTGTTTGCTGGGCCCTGGATAGTTGGTATTGTACTTAACCTTTGTACTAGTGACCTATGGTGCCCACCAGGGAGTTAGCCCATCTGGCATTTCCATATTGAGTCACTACTTACTTTTTTTTTTTGGTCTTTTTTTTTGAGACAGGGTCTCAACTCACAAAGATCCACCTGCCTCTGCCTCCTGAGTGCTGGGATTAAAGGCATGCCCCACCACACCTGGCTCACTAATTTTTATGTATAAATATATGAGTGTTTTGCCTGCGTGTATGTAAGTGTACTTATGTTGCACAATGCCCATTAAACAGGGTATTGGCTCTTCTGGAACTAGAGTTACAGACTGTTGTTAGCTGCCATGTGGGTGCTGAGACCCAAACCTCTGTCCTTTGCAAGAACAGCCAATGCTCTTAACCACTGAGCAATCTCTCCAGCCCCACATTGAGTCACTCTTGGTAAAATTTGGGTCCTGGCCTAGCCCTGGGTAGATGGGCTCAGGGGCTCAAGGTCACTTACCTACCCATTTACTTTTTGGAAGCCACTGTGGACAAGGAGTCAAGAGACATGTCCCCAAACTAGAGACTGATTGCCTTAGGGATAGTGTACATGGAAAGGTAGAATTCAAGAAAGAAGAACAGAAGCACCGAGAGGTTGCAGTTCGGGGGTGACATGGTGGGGGAGACCTAAAGGAGCATATCGAAAGATGGCTCTGTGGAACGACAGCAGGTAGACTTTGGGGCTGAAGGAAGGAAAGACTAGCATCTTCTAGCTTGCAAGACAAGATGACTTTAATGCCTAAAGGCTTGTGGGATGGTCTGTCTCTTGTGTGCTAGAGGGCTTCTGGGCCTTTCCTCATAGCCACACCCACCCTGGTAGCATCTGCAGAGGTGCCATGGTGCTCCTGAGGCCCTCTGAGCTTGTCTTTTTTTTTCATAGCCATGCGTACACTGAGTGAAGACACTGTCAGGCTGTTCCTACAGCAGATTGCTGGTGCCATGCAGCTGCTACACAGCAAGGGCATCATCCACCGAGATTTGAAGCCCCAGAACATCCTGCTCTCCAACCCTGGGGGACGCCGTGCCAATCCCAGCAACATTCGTGTCAAGATTGGTGAGGCCTGTCGGGGTGGTGGCCCCCTGAGGGACTGCAGCAGGGGCCCCTGTTCGCAGTAACCTCAGCTCAGGACATCTGGGTGCTTCTTCTACAGCTGACTTTGGATTTGCGAGGTACCTCCAGAGCAATATGATGGCGGCCACACTCTGCGGCTCTCCCATGTACATGGTGCGTGCCCAACAATGGTCCAGGCCTACCTGCCATACACCAGCCACTTTGAGCAGAGCAGGACAGGGATCAGCCTCTGACCTAAGGCCCCTGGTAGGAATGTCAGAACCCCAAAGACTAGCTGTGGTCGCATCTTGGGCAGCAGACAGGATAGCAGTACCATTTTGTCATGTCTAACTTGGTTGGTGCTTGGGTTGTGTGTATTAGTTGCCTGGTACCTGTTATTGGCCTTTGCATACTCCTCTTTTCTGTATAGTAGTGTTGACTTGTGTTCCACCTTGCAGGCCCCTGAGGTCATCATGTCCCAGCACTATGATGGGAAAGCTGACCTTTGGAGCATCGGCACCATCGTTTATCAGTGTCTGACTGGGAAGGCCCCTTTCCAGGTGAGGGAGCCGTATGACCCTGAGGGCTTTGTGAGTTCCTAAAGCCATAGAGGATGGGAATCAATATGAGGGGGATTCAGGGTGATGTCCCTGTCATGGGAGAGTATGGGGTTGCCAAATGGGTATCGGTTTGAGGTTATAGGTGCTAGGATTGGTGGTTGTCCTGCATCCTCCAGGTGAAAGCTCCTGACATACCCTGCCCTATGGCTCACTGAAATGTTGCATTTCCTCAATAGCAGTCAGGTAGTCTTGGGCCCTGTCCAGCTATCTCTGCTCCAGGCCATACAGGTATTTCCTGTGTGACATCACAGTCCTTCTGGTTGGTCCTCTGGTTGGTCAGTTTTTAGCTCTGTTTTGACCTTCACCAGAGGTCAAATTTGCAAATGGATGCTGGATTAAGTCTCCTAACTT